TGAATACCCTCTAATCTGGATCGCGAAGGTGATGCAGATGAGCTAGGTATTTCAAAAGTGGCGATGGGGGTGAGGGAGAAGGAAGACGGGAGGGACGGAGGAATGGAAAAGGAGGGAGGATAGGAAGGAGAGATAGAGAGAGGAGGGAGGGAGATGATAATATAGTGACTGATCTTATTTAGGTTTTTGTTAATTAGAAATCGTGTTGAAGATAATCATGTATATCATTCTTGTTTCAGTTATTCCCCATCTCTGTCTGTACCTATTATCTCTCTCTCTCTCTCTCTCTCTCTCTCTCTCTCTCTCTCTCTCTCTCTCTCTCTCTCTCATTTCTTTTTTTGGAAAATTCCAAAATGAGAATCGTAAATTACCACCGCAATTTTTTTCACTGCACAAAAAGTGTTAGGGGCACTACAGCAAATGCGCAAGCACGGGCTTTGATGATAAGAATTGGCAAAACTCTTCACTGACAACAAGTTTGAAGTTTGAAAGAAAGAAAAAAAAAAATCATTGTCAAAAGACATAAGTGAAAATTACAGAGATATTTTGCAAAAGTTTGAATGGATGATTTGAACTAGAGTTTTACTACAGAACGAGCTTGCTCCCCCCCCACCTTCAACTAAGGGAGAAGGTGTATTATGCGATTTATATATATATATATATATATATATATATATATATATATATATATATATGTATATATATATATACATACATACATATATATATTCATACTTATATATATTTACACACACACACACACACACACACACACACACACACACACACACACACACACACACACACACAGGGGAAGAGTTAGTTGAGGAAGAATTCCCTTTTCATTTCCCCTGCTTCTGCGCCAATTATCCTTCGCAACAGCACCAGCGAGAGAACCCGTCGCCGGCAAAGGAAGGAAGAAAAAAAATCTCACGCAGCGAAGTCTCAGGGAAGAATTCGAAGGTCCGTCCGTCCCAAGTCCTCGGCACTTAAGTCTCGAAAATGTCGCTCGGAGGAAGGGGAGGCGGAGGTCAAGAGGCCGAGAGGAAGAAGAAGTGCGCCAGGAATTCGTCTCGAAATGCCCAAGTTATATTAGTCTGAGAAATCGCGTGGATTCGGGGATGGAAACTTAAAGCGAAGGTAATTCTGAGATCAATGATTAACGTCTAGACTCAGATTGTTTAGGTATATAAAATCAGTAGTGTATTTGCTTTCATTTGTTCAAAGGTCTCGATGAAAACAGAGATTCTCGGGATGAGACAACCTTGCATCTCCATAGTTCACTGTCGACGAATAATCTAAATGGAAGTCTCTTTCGACAAACAGTGTCAAAGTTGGTCCATATCAAGTGGACTTTGGGGACATGTCCGTAGAGGAACAAGCGTACTAGGCCGCGGGATGATGCGGTAGGGTGGCCAGCTCCCTTCCGCCCCAACTTTAACCACGACATGATAAAGTCAGCATGCCAGTACTTCCTTCCAGCTATGTCGACTGAGAAGGGAGACCGAAGCGCGAAGCCAGGATTTTGCGATTGCAAAGCCAGCGCTCTACCACCGAGCTTTGCCTCACTAAGGAAAATACACAAATCGATAAAAGTTCTTGAAAGATTCTTCAGACGAGTTAGGAGACTCCAGAGCCGAGGAGGGCGTCAGACCAAGTTTATATTTGCACGGGCGCAAAACTGTGCCTTCAGATTGGATGCGGTTGCAGATGCAAACTTGAAAAGAACTTGAGAATGCACCGCGAGACAGCTGGGCATCCGAGAGGAGAATGTGAGGAGAAATATAAACACGCCGAAATACAAAATGAATTGGTGTCTCGCTGGGTTCCTAGAAAGGACCAATATTGCTACTGTCAGTTTCCCTTTTCTTCGAGGCCAGCACTGACACGGTCTGACAGATTTTCCATAACTTCTTTTCTGTGCGGGGATGAATATATAGAACGCATCTATAATAAATATATTTTCAGTATTTTCCATACTATTCTCTTAATACGTATAAATCACCATTCATAATTTTTCATCTACACTGCAAACAAAAAGCAAATAAACATACAGCATACACTTCATAAAAAAAAAATATATACAAAACAGATCATACAACAACGCAATCAGACACCAGCGAAAAATACCAGTACATAAAAAAACGCCCCATCGCCGAGCATTGCAGACACAGCTCGCGGCGATGATGTATATTACATGATCCACTCCGGCGTAAGAGATTTGATTCTGTTCCCTCGCCGGACCGAAATGACGCCGCGCTCCAATCTGTCGCAGAGACGCCGCCGGTGCCAGGCGCTGCTTCGGCGTGGAAAGGGGAGGGCGTCGTATGCTCTTGCTTTCCGTCGAGGGTGTTCTTCCTTCGGTGTTTTTCTATCGTGTGTTTTCCATCGAGTATTTTTGTGCGTGTTTTACATTGAGTGTTTTTTTCCTATAGTTTTCTACAGTTTTTTGTGTTTTTCGTCGACTTTTCATAATGTTTTTTCTATCTAATGTTTTCTCCCGTTTTCTTTTAGTGTTTTTATCTCCATCGATAATTTTTTCACCCTCGTTTCTCTTGCATGTTTGTGATCTTTAACCTTTATCGAAGACAGTGACATAAAAGGAGAGTCGAGTGCGTATTCGAAGGAAAGAAAGAATGGAGGAAGGGAGGGAGAGAGATGGAAGGAAGCTGGAAGCGAGTGACTGAGAGAGAGAGAGAGAGAGAAAGAGAGAGAGAGAGGGGAGGGCTGAGAGAGAGAGAGAGAGGGGAGGGCTGAGAGAAAGAGAGAGAGAGAGAGAGAGAGAGAGAGAGAGAGAGAGAGAGAGAGAGAGAGAGGGGAGGGCTGAGAGAGAGAGAGAGAGGGGAGGGCTGAGAGAGAGAGAGAGAGAGAGAGAGAGAGCGAGAGAGAGAGAGAGAGGGAGGAGAGAGAGAGAGAGAGGGGAGGGCTGAGAGAAAGAGAGAGAGAGAGAGGGGGAGGGCTGAGAGAGAGAGAGAGAGAGGGGAGGGCTGAGAGAGAGAGAGAGAGGGAGGGCTGAGAGAGAGAGAGAGGAGAGAGAGAGAGAGAGAGAGAGAGAGAGAGAGAGCGAGAGAGAGTGAGAGAGAGAGCGAGAGAGAGAGAGAGAGCCAATTCAAACGAGTGGACTGTGAGATGTAATTTTAGATCTATGCTAATGGCGGGAGCACGGAAGCCCCGTTCTCGACTCTGCTAATTCCCGACTCGGAGAATAGATGGAAAACAGGATATAGTTCCGATGATTAATCTGTCCTACGATTCGTAAATTCATCTGTATACAATTTCCTAATATAAATTAAATGTATATTCACTATTTGTACCAAATAACCAGTATAAGATATATTTTTTAAATAGCAATGCCGACAACTTGCAGACAACTCTCTGGAAGGAAAACTAATTTTCAGTGACATTCACACTTACTTTTTTTTCTCTCTTCTCCCGTTTTTTTTCGTTTTTTTTCCTCTTTTTATCTGTTCCTTTTTCTTTTTATCCTCTTTTCTTTTTTACCTTTTCCTTTTCTCTCTCTCTCTCTCTCTCTCTCTCTCTCTCTCTCTCTCTCTCTCTCTCTCTTTTTTTTTTTTTTTTTCTTTTTTTTTTTCTTTTTTTTTTTCTTTTTTTTTTTTACTGCGAGCGTGGCGTTATGCAAGAGCTCCTCGCGGCCGACGTCCAATATGGAACTTGACGTGTCTCCTGCCTGAGAGCGAAGGCAACTTTCAGATAACGAAATGGAGGAAAAAGCCGGACGGGTTTGTAAAGCCGGAGTAGTAGTTGAGGAGGAGTTTCAGCGTCGCGGAGTAGTTTTAGCGTCTGTCGAGAAGTCTCGACGCCTATTGAAGAGGAGTAATTTTGGCGTCTGTGGAGGAGGAGTCATTTTGGCGTCTGTGGAGAAGTCATTTTGGCGTTTGTGGAGAAATTTTGGCGTCTGTGAAGTTTCGGCGTCTGTGGAGGAGTCATTTTGGTTCCGACGGCTACTGGAGAGGAGTCATTCTGGCGTCTGTGGAGAAGTTTAGGTGTCTGTGGAGGAGGAGTCATTTTAGCGTCTGTGAAGGAGATCAGATCTAATTACGTCTGGCGAAAGAAAGTTCTTCCTAAGAGACCGCAAGGTCTTTCTTTCCCGCAGGCTTTATCCTTGCAAAAAGACTGCAATTACCTGATTGACTGACTATTTACGCCTCGGCGCTGCAATAGACATTCCCTATGATTTTTAACTTTTGAACAATCCTCTCTTTGGCAAACTTATCTGTTTTATCGTTTATTGCACTTCCTTGTTTATAGACAGTGCCTTCCCTCTTCCTCTCCCCACTCCTTCTTCCAAAACAAATTCTACTTTTTTTCGAGCGAGTGTATCCCCCCCCCCCCCATCCAGCACCCTCCCTCCTATCACAGGGCTCCGCTTCGCCAAGCATCAGATTTACATTCGCCAATGCTATTCCGGATAAGTACGAGGACCGTTAGTCAGGGAGATTAAAGTGCTATTCCACTTTCCCTTTGCTGGTTTACTTGTACTGCTCCTGCCAGTGCTCGCGGAAAATTGGTCCATCTTGCGGCGCCGTAGACTTTTCAGGGAGGGAGGGAGGGAGGGAGGAGGAAGGGTACACTTTACGTGGAAGGGGGAGGGGGGAGGAGGAGGAATAGGGGGATAGTCTAAAGCTCAAGGGAGAGAAGGGAGAGAGGGGCTACACTTCTTAAGACAGGGAGGGAGCTAGGGGGCTGGCACACTTCTCAAGGGAAGAACGGAGAAAGGGAGAGAGTGCCACGGAGAGCCACGGACCCGAGATGTTTACGAAAATTGCGGGTACAAAGTGATGCGTCTCGGGAGCGTCGGAGGGACTTGGCGTGCGCACTACTGAAGGTCAAGACAAGAATTCCAAAGGGGGTTGCTTATTCCCTTCTCTTGTCCACACCGCCCGCGGATGATAATGCCTTTGGAGTCTTTTCGTTTCGTTTGTTTCTTTGTACTTTTAAATATTTTTTTTTTTTTTTTTTTTTTTTTTTTTTTTTTTTTTTTAATTTCTCAGCTGCGTCTGTGGAGGAGGAGTCATTTTGGTTCCGACGGCTACTGGAGAGGAGTCATTCTGGCGTCTGTGGAGAAGTTTAGGTGTCTGTGGAGGAGGAGTCATTTTGGTTCCGACGGCTACTGGAGAGGAGTCATTCTGGCGTCTGTGGAGAAGTTTAGGTGTCTGTGGAGGAGGAGTCATTTTGGTTCCGACGGCTACTGGAGAGGAGTCATTCTGGCGTCTGTGGAGAAGTTTAGGTGTCTGTGGAGGAGGAGTCATTTTGGTTCCGACGGCTACTGGAGAGGAGTCATTCTGGCGTCTGTGGAGAAGTTTAGGTGTCTGTGGAGGAGGAGTCATTTTGGTTCCGACGGCTACTGGAGAGGAGTCATTCTGGCGTCTGTGGAGAAGTTTAGGTGTCTGTGGAGGAGGAGTCATTTTGGTTCCGACGGCTACTGGAGAGGAGTCATTCTGGCGTCTGTGGAGAAGTTTAGGTGTCTGTGGAGGAGTCATTTTGGTTCCGACGGCTACTGGAGAGGAGTCATTCTGGCGTCTGTGGAGAAGTTTAGGTGTCTGTGGAGGAGGAGTCATTTTGGTTCCGACGGCTACTGGAGAGGAGTCATTCTGGCGTCTGTGGAGAAGTTTAGGTGTCTGTGGAGGAGGAGTCATTTTGGTTCCGACGGCTACTGGAGAGGAGTCATTCTGGCGTCTGTGGAGAAGTTTAGGTGTCTGTGGAGGAGGAGTCATTTTGGTTCCGACGGCTACTGGAGAGGAGTCATTCTGGCGTCTGTGGAGAAGTTTAGGTGTCTGTGGAGGAGGAGTCATTTTGGTTCCGACGGCTACTGGAGAGGAGTCATTCTGGCGTCTGTGGAGAAGTTTAGGTGTCTGTGGAGGAGGAGTCATTTTGGTTCCGACGGCTACTGGAGAGGAGTCATTCTGGCGTCTGTGGAGAAGTTTAGGTGTCTGTGGAGGAGGAGTCATTTTGGTTCCGACGGCTACTGGAGAGGAGTCATTCTGGCGTCTGTGGAGAAGTTTAGGTGTCTGTGGAGGAGGAGTCATTTTGGTTCCGACGGCTACTGGAGAGGAGTCATTCTGGCGTCTGTGGAGAAGTTTAGGTGTCTGTGGAGGAGGAGTCATTTTGGTTCCGACGGCTACTGGAGAGGAGTCATTCTGGCGTCTGTGGAGAAGTTTAGGTGTCTGTGGAGGAGGAGTCATTTTGGTTCCGACGGCTACTGGAGAGGAGTCATTCTGGCGTCTGTGGAGAAGTTTAGGTGTCTGTGGAGGAGGAGTCATTTTGGTTCCGACGGCTACTGGAGAGGAGTCATTCTGGCGTCTGTGGAGAAGTTTAGGTGTCTGTGGAGGAGGAGTCATTTTGGTTCCGACGGCTACTGGAGAGGAGTCATTCTGGCGTCTGTGGAGAAGTTTAGGTGTCTGTGGAGGAGGAGTCATTTTGGTTCCGACGGCTACTGGAGAGGAGTCATTCTGGCGTCTGTGGAGAAGTTTAGGTGTCTGTGGAGGAGTCATTTTGGTTCCGACGGCTACTGGAGAGGAGTCATTCTGGCGTCTGTGGAGAAGTTTAGGTGTCTGTGGAGGAGGAGTCATTTTGGTTCCGACGGCTACTGGAGAGGAGTCATTCTGGCGTCTGTGGAGAAGTTTAGGTGTCTGTGGAGGAGGAGTCATTTTGGTTCCGACGGCTACTGGAGAGGAGTCATTCTGGCGTCTGTGGAGAAGTTTAGGTGTCTGTGGAGGAGGAGTCATTTTGGTTCCGACGGCTACTGGAGAGGAGTCATTCTGGCGTCTGTGGAGGAGTCATTTTGGTTCCGACGGCTACTGGAGAGGAGTCATTCTGGCGTCTGTGGAGAAGTTTAGGTGTCTGTGGAGGAGGAGTCATTTTAGCGTCTGTGAAGGAGATCAGATCTAATTACGTCTGGCGAAAGAAAGTTCTTCCTAAGAGACCGCAAGGTCTTTCTTTCCCGCAGGCTTTATCCTTGCAAAAAGACTGCAATTACCTGATTGACTGACTATTTACGCCTCGGCGCTGCAATAGACATTCCCTATGATTTTTAACTTTTGAACAATCCTCTCTTTGGCAAACTTATCTGTTTTATCGTTTATTGCACTTCCTTGTTTATAGACAGTGCCTTCCCTCTTCCTCTCCCCACTCCTTCTTCCAAAACAAATTCTACTTTTTTTCGAGCGAGTGTATCCCCCCCCCCCCCATCCAGCACCCTCCCTCCTATCACGGGCTCCGCTTCGCCAAGCATCAGATTTACATTCGCCAATGCTATTCCGGATAAGTACGAGGACCGTTAGTCAGGGAGATTAAAGTGCTATTCCACTTTCCCTTTGCTGGTTTACTTGTACTGCTCCTACCAGTGCTCGCGGAAAATTGGTCCATCTTGCGGCGCCGTAGACTTTTTAGGGAGGGAGGGAGGGAGGGAGGGAAGGAGGAGGAAGGGTACACTTTACGTGGAAGGGGGAGGGGGGAGGAGGAGGAATAGGGGGATAGGTCTAAAGCTCAAGGGAGAGAAGGGAGAGAGGGGCTACACTTCTTAAGACAGGGAGGGAGCTAGGGGGCTGGCACACTTCTCAAGGGAAGAACGGAGAAAGGGAGAGAGTGCCACGGAGAGCCACGGACCCGAGATGTTTACGAAAATTGCGGGTACAAAGTGATGCGTCTCGGGAGCGTCGGAGGGACTTGGCGTGCGCACTACTGAAGGTCAAGACAAGAATTCCAAAGGGGGTTGCTTATTCCCTTCTCTTGTCCACACCGCCCGCGGATGATAATGCCTTTGGAGTCTTTTCGTTTCGTTTGTTTCTTTGTACTTTTAAATATTTTTTTTTTTTTTTTTTTTTTTTTTTTTTTTTTTTTAATTTCTCAGCTGCGTGTTTATTATCCTGCCTTTTTGTATATTATCTTCTTTAATAGTCTATCCATTTCCTCTCTTTTTTGATTCTTACTTTTCCGCGTTTCACCTCTCCTTTCTCTCATCGTTTCCCTTCCTTCTTCTCTTTCGCTTTTATGTTCTTTCTTCCATCTCTCTCTCTCTCGTTTTCCGTTGCCTCCTCTTTACCTTTTTTCCGCTTTCCTTAAAGATCTTTCTCTTCCCTCCTTCTTCTCATCTCTCATTCCTATCCTCCATCCTTCTCATTTTTCAGCTACCTTTCTTCTTTCCTCTTCTTCTCCTCCTTCCTCTCCTTTCCTCATTTCCTTTCTCCCTTTCTGCTTCCTGTTGTTTCTCCTCTCCCTTCTTCCTTTCCACCTTCCTCTCTCTTCCTACCTTCCTTAATACTATCCTTCCTTTCCTCCCCTGAGCTATCTTCGCCCTTCTTCCTTGCTCTCCTCCTTCCCTTTCCTCCCATGATCTCCCCACATATCCTTCCTTCCTTCTCCTCCCTTATCTTTCCCTCACTCCCTTTCCTCCCTTTAACTATAATTCACTCCTTCCTTTCCTTTCTTTTGTCACTTCCCCCTTCCCCTCCTTCCTTCCTTCCTCTTCATCCCTTTCCTCCCTTTAACTATAATTCACTCCTTCCTTTCCTTTCTTTTGTCACTTCCCCCTTCCCCTCCTTCCTTCCTTCCTCTTCTTCCCTTCCCCCCCCCCATTCCTCCCCTTCTTTTGTCACTTCCCCCTTCCCCTCCTTCCTTCCTTCCTCTTCTTCCCCTTCCCTCCCCTCCTCCCCTCACTAAGGGAAAGCGACACGGCCTGCGCTGTCTCCGCGAAGATAAGTTATGATGTCCAAGTCAGCCGCGGGGAATACCACGCTTCTAGCACACTGAGCTAATCCCGCTCGCCATACAAGTGCAGCGCGATTTCGAGCGAAAATCCGCCTATATTGACGTCATCCCTTTTGCTATTTCGTTATCAGAGGCCGTATGGGTCGTAGGGGGGAAATCTGGACGAGGTTGTCATAGCTTTGATAAGGACTCCGGGAGAAGGAGGTTCAGGAGAGGAGTGCATGTAACATTACCAAGATTTCGAATGGATATTAACCGAGCGCAGAGGGACTACTGTTCAATCCGGGGGGCGGGGGGGGGGGGGAGGCGCCACGATCCTGGGGAATAGCGAAGGGAAGGGAAAGGAGGAGGGGGGGGGGGAGGATTGGGGCAAATCAATCCTTGAAGGGGATGGCGAGGATAAAGGGTGGAGGAGGGGGGGGGACTTCGCTCGCTATGGTCTCAGAAACAAATGAAGGAAATAAACCATAAAAAGGGAAAGGCGAAAAAAAGAAAAAGAAAATAAACCAGAAAAAAAACAAAGAAGAAAATCGATAAAAACAAGCCAGAAAATAGTCAGAGAAAAAAAAATCTAAAAAAAATAAGAGAAGAAATTAAAGTAAACTAGAAAAAGGAAAAGGTGTAGAAAAGACAAATAAAGATAATGAAGAGAGCGCGGCATAAACCCCACAAAGATATGAGCATAAGTGACTGCTGTTCTCATACGAGATTCATGCAGTCTCATTCATTCATTCAGTCGAGAGCGATCTGCCATCTGTCAGGCATGCGCAGCCGAGGTCTTGCCTGAACCGCTGTACCCCCCCCCCCAACCTAAGTTAGGACAGGCATGACAATGACAAGCAAAAGAAAGTTTCTTATTTTCGCTGGAGGTAAAACCACGACGGGAAGTTAAGAGAAAGAAGACGGAAATCGCGTAGTTGTGAATGACAGTCCAAACAGCTGACTAACAAACTGGTCTGGACTGCAATTATAATCCTCAAAAGGCCAAAACTGATGTCATAAAACAATGCAAATATCAATTTCAACAGAAAAAAAAACAACAGCAACAAAATATTCATGCAGATCCTGTAAATAAAATTACCTCAGTTACAAAAGCCCCCCCCCCCCCCAAAAAAAAAAAAAAAAAAAAAAAATCAAATACTAACAATCTCTAAACTAAGCAATACCGAGTAAATGAAATCCCAACACACATGAATAAAGATATCAAGAGATATGAAGGACAATAAATGCCATGTTTTCCAGCTGACGGAACTAAATACGAGACCACGCCTGGCGGATCTTTCCCCTGATACTGGCGAATGGAACACTGGAAACGGCCGAGTGTGGCGCTGGACACTCGCTCTGTCTGCCTGCCTGGCGACGCTGCCGACCGTTGCCTACGAAGAGGAGAGGGAGAGAGGGAGAGAGGAAGGGAGGGAGAGGGAGAGAGAGAGAGAGAGAGAGAGAGAGAGAGAGAGAGAGAGAGAGAGAGAGAGAGAGAGAGGGAGGTTGAGAGAGAGAGAGAGAGAGAGAGAAAGAGAGAGAAAGAGAAAGAGAGAGAGAGAGAAAGAGAGAGAGAGGGCGGGAGGGAGAGAGAGAGAGGGCGAGGGCGAGGGAGGGAGAGAGAGAAAAAAAAGAGAGAGAGAGATATGGAGAGATAGATAGATGTAGGAACGACAAATAAACAGAGCCAGAAAACAGGATTACCGATGGTTGCAAGACGGACAGTCGAGACAAGAAAAGGCGGGGATGAGGAAGGGGGGTGAAAGATAATGGACGGCATAGTAGGGGGAGGTGGGGTACAAAAACATAAAATGTCAAGTAGGGGGAATGTAGGGGGCGGGGGTACCAAAAGCAAGATAGAAGGAGGGAATTAGGAAGGGTGAAGGACTGTAAGAACAGGAGGGAGAATAGATTGTTAAGAGTACCAGAATAAAGATGGTAAGAGAAGGAGCGAGAATAGAGAGTTGAGTTTACCAAAACAAGATGCAAAGAGAAACGGAAAGAGTACCAGAAGACGGAAGGAGGAGGAGGAGGAGGAGGAGGGAGAGGAGGGGGAGGAGGACGAGGAGGGGAGGGGGGGAAGGACAAAGGGTTGGGGGGAAGGGCTACAGGGGGGGGAGGGGTACCACCAGCTTACATCTTGAATCCCCCGACCTCTTAGAGCTTTCTGAGCTTTGCGAGATCAAAGGAAGCCGACGGAAGTGACCCGTGGATAAGCTTCTCTCTCTCTCTATTCTCTTTCTTTCTCCGCCCGCCCGCACGCACGCACGCACGCCCGCTCCTCCTCCTCCTCCCCCTCTCGATGCAAATGAAGAGAGAAAGAATTTATAAAAGAAATATCTGCAACTCCCCTTAGTTCGGAAATTGAAAGCCTGCGGATTGGTGGGAAGTTTTGGCTCACGGAGAGATGGAAAAAAGTAAAGAAAAAAAAGAAAAGAAAATGTAGATTAATAGTGTTTTAGAGATTTGTTTGGTAAGAATAGTACCTATAAAATAATCTTGCTAATGGTGACAGCAGTAACAGTGAAGCGATGTTAATGACTAATGATATACAATATCCATATTATACAATACAACCAGAACAGTAATAACAATATCAATATAATAATACAAGCAATATCAACAAAGTTAACAGTGACAGACATAATACAGCAGTGGATAATACTGATAGCATTATCACTGCGCTTATCAGTACAGTCATGAGAAATAGACTGATAGCAACAATGATACTAACACCAACAATCACAACAATAATAAAAAAGAATAATAATGATGATAACAATAATAACGATATATGATAATAATAACAATGTAAACAAGAATGATTGCATTTGTAAAAGGCCTTTTGGGCGTAATGGAAGTAATTAGAATAATAACAATGAAGAAACTGCAGAGCTTTTAATGCATTTAATGATTAAAAAAACAATAACAATATCAATAACAGAAATAATTACGCTGAATCTTATAACAAAGAAATGCAAGTCATGACATAAGTATTATATCAAATACTAACAACTGGCTTTCTTTATTATAACGA